ACGTTCATATTTTAGGTATGCGTTATTTAAAGTTCATCAGTTCAAACGTTACCTCCTCCCTCTGTCTCTTCTTCCTCGATAAGACGAGGTCTGTAACTTTACCTGAAATATCGGTTTAAGTAAGTAGTTTAATTTCGGGGATATTACTTAAAATATTATTACAGAAGTCTAATTCTCTCTCTCTAGATTTTTATTTCGTTCTAAATATGAATGCTTGCGCTTTCTATAATAAAATTCTTTGAATGTTTGTCACAGAGTTGATGTTTTAATTACGCGAGCAGTTCGATTAAATCAGGTTACCTAATAAGTCTGGCTCGCAAAGATGACTTTTTTATCCCTCGATATTGATAAAATGTATATATGTATAAATTTCGCGTGGATTTCAGACAGAGTCTAAAAAGAGATAGATAAATCAATTTCAATCTCTCATTCACTTTTGTTTTTTTACCTTCAGTAGCACGATTTATTTCGTTATGACCTTACATTCGTAATTAATTTATTCGATACCATTCCCCACACAAATAAAAGTTCCGCCGTAGTTTTATGTGCAGTAATTGATAACAGCGAGCATCGAAAGGTCGAACGGCCGCGGATAAAAAACTAATTGCGTAGGTGTATCGAAAGTGGTAAGCGCTTATCAAGAACGATCGCATGAATGCTTAAAAGTTCCATTCTTACGCCTCGATGAAATTACCTTAAAGCGGAAAGCAGCTTAAAAAGCTAAAATCAGTCATATACAGCAAAACATTTTATTCATTCATGGCATAGCATTTCTACCAAAACGGCGAGGTAAATTTATAAACGAAATTTTAATGCATGTTACATTTGTGCCACCAGAATCTTAATAAGCCAACAGAATTTTTAATTGAGAAATAACACGATATATTCTCTCTGGCGATATTTTTGTCGAAATTTATCTTTGCGAGGATCCAGAAATTTTTTTACGGTCGCTTCCAAGTTACAGCAATGGTAACATGTAAGGACACAACTCTCAGAGCTCGCAGAATTTAAAGATATTTCTCTTTATAGAGCAGAATCGAATTTATTATTAGCTATCATGCATAAGAAACGAATTTTATAATTCCTCTCAATTTCATACATTTATCCATATCTTATAATTAAATGACTAACTAAAAATCTCCGTTAGCTAAATATGTCATTATCTAAGCTTAAATCCTTATATTGTTAAATTAAATTATGTCAAATTATATCCAATTTGAGTTATTTTTTATCATTTCTATATGTCCTAAATATGTCATTAATTTAATTAAAACAATCGAGTTAAATATAATTTAGGGTGGAGTTGACTAAGTCATACTGACGGTTAAATAGTACCTCCATTGTATTTTTTAAACGAAACATTTTTTTTAAATACTGATGTGACGCTGATAATATGGGTTAAGAACTATTATTTTTATTTTATCTTCGAGTCGTCTGTTTATGAGTGACATTCAAGATTGATTTATTCGGTGTCTGATCTAAGTTTTGGTACAATTTATCTAACATAAGATATTATCAATACAAGATGGATAATTGAATTATAATATCCTTCAAGACTATAATTGATCTATTTTCGAGTATAGCATCAAATTAGCAAAATATTTATAAGTTATGTTGCTATTGGCAAATTTGTAAAAATAGAGGGAATTGGATAAATCGTACTTGTCGCTTTTTCTATTGAGTCTTTCTATTGTAATGGAAAAATCCATAATTGATTTTATTTCCAAAATTTATTTTTTCAAAATATTTGAGATTTTAATATTCTGAAATATAGTGCAATGATAGCTTAAATCAATTTAAGTTTGCTTTTTACTTTGTTTTCTTATGTAAATGAGTTTAAAAAACAGTCTAATTTTTGTTTTTATAATAGAAAAGTTTTTTTTATTGTATCTACTTAAATATGTATACTCAGTTTGAAATTAAAAATAAATTTATTAATAAATGAGTTTTAAAATTATTTTTTGTTTATTTTCCCAGGAAAAAAAATGACGCTAATTACCGTAATTTTGATTAAATTAAACATGTTATTTTAATGTCAAAATGACAATAAATCAGTTTATTTGTTAGATTAAAATACGATTCAGGAACCAAAAGTGATACAATTTAACGACCTGGTCTCCAAATCCTCCCGAAAGTTACTTTTTTTTTTAAAATCTAATTTAAACAATAATTTCATGTCTATTTTCGCAAAAATATCGTTTTGTTTTATTGCCAATGAATCAAAGTTTAATGTAAGTACAGAAATATTCTGATTTCTTCGGTACTTTTGTTATAATTTTGTTTAAACGTTAGTACGATATAGGCAACTTCCCCAACTTAAAAAAATGTATTAAATTAGATCTAAATTTAGTTTATTATTTAATAAGTGTGTGCGCACATTAATATAGATGTTATTTATTATGAAACTAATGACAAAAATGGATTGATTTAAATTTTAGAAGTTAAAAATAATAAAACGTTATTTAACTCAAGGCTTGGATTACCATAGTGCTCCTTTAATATCTAACAGTGTAAGACTCCTTATGCACAAATAGTAACTCCCAATTCGCTCACTCTAATTTCAAAAACGTACTTCCGGTTACCTCTTCTATTTTAAATACCCCGTACATCTCAGTTTTACCGGTTTCTCAACGGTGGATCTCTAGCACGGATGAACGTCAGGAAAGTAACCGGAAGTGGCTCTGAGTGCACACCGGGAAATTCATGAGAGCTGGATCAGCCGGAAAAGGGATCGTTGCCTCTTGGCGTTCTCCATACCAAGCTTTTCCATCCCGACATCAACGACTGAGGAGCGAATGAGAAGAGAGAGAGAGACAGAGACGTGGGCAAAGGCCAAGGGGAAACGAGGAGGACAAGTCGGAAGGGAGGGTGTCGATTTGCAATCCGGACGATATTTGCAAGTTAAAGACTCGCACTGCCGGCTGAAGCACGACGTACGCCGCATCGTCCGGATAATCCAGTGGATCGAAAGGGATTCCTTTCGCCTCGCCGTCGCGTCGCCACCGCCTAGAATCCCGTCGCGGCTGTCTTTTAAGATCAAATTACGTGTCCGCCCAAGAAAGCGGACTCGGAAGTGCTCCAGGGAACGTTTCGGGTCTCGCGATCGCGCGATTTTCATCCGAAGATTGTCGCGCTGATGGCTTCCCTTTGACGCCGTAATTGCAGTATAATAAACACGTTTATTTTCACAAAGCGCGGATCGTATCATTTTTCACATGAGCTTCAAAGGCGTAACTTTGGTTCGTGGGCTTTGTCCTGCAACGATTATAGGAAATCGTTCCATCAAACGAAGATAATTAAAAATAACGTGGCAACGTAATGAACGCAAAATGTAAAAATCTAACCTGAGGCATGACTTGCTGACCTTTGCAGACTTTTCTCGTCGTGGATTCCTGACTCCCTCATCGATATTTATTAGCGTGTCCCCTTCTACTGTGATCGCGTGCACGAAACTCCATACGGAACTTTATACTTCTAATTGCCTGGCGTCTCAAACTTCGCTTCTTCAGCCTACCTCTATATACGGAGAAACGCACATAACTTTTAATTCTCGATTCCTCTCTACGAATCTAAATGTGTACTCTGTATGATGGCTCCTGTTTGGGCACAAAATCAACTTATATGCAATTCTTCGAAAACGTTACAGGTACAAGGATCCTCTCGAACGAATCTCTACGCTCGAATTTCCGCGTTACGGCTTGCTTTATGTTCACGTGAAGTGTCTTTGTTTTAATTGTACAATTTGTCAAGATTACATAAATTAAAATCTTTATTAGGCGAATTATTCATTAAGGCAGTCCGATTTGAGCGATGAGAGCCAACCATGTGCCTTCGACTTGCACTCACTGTACAGTATCTGGCATCTTCCTTGTGTGTGCATCTTTTTTTGTGCGCGAAGACAGAGTTGCCACAAGTCAGGAAAAATCAGGGATTTAGCACACTTGTCAGGGAAATTCTAACACTTTCAGCTATACTTCGTCTGGCTGTACGCTTTGCCATCATCTTTCTTGACAACCCTTTTTTTTTTGGAAGTCGATTTCCGAATATAAAAACCTCCATTTGTGTACAATTCTTGAGAAGACTGAGGAACATTGCAAAGTATGAATGATTCTGTGTCAGGGAAAATGTCAAAATTCCGTCAGTAAATCAGGAAAATGTTAGAGGATTTTATGATTGCAAATTTGTGGCAACCCTGGAAGAAAGCTTACCTTTTAGCTTTTCTTTTATTTTTTTTCTTTTTTTTCTTAGCTTTTCTTTTTACCTGTCCTCTCTTATCTTTCCTTATTTTGATCATTTCTGTTAATATAGATTAATTCTAACCTCGGTTTAATTTACTCTTGATTTTTTTAGTTCTAAAAATTACAAAAAGGTTTGAGTTCAACCGAGATTAAGATTAGTTTACATTGGTGGAAAAAACTGACACTTATCAATTTTTCAACTATATTTTCAATTCTTTGTTCACATTTTTTATCTTTATTATTTTTATTTCTGCATTTTTGTTCTTTATCTTGTATTATTTTACATTATTATTTTGATACCATTTTACTTTCTTCACTAAAAAAAAAAAAGAAGTATTTAATTTTAAGATATTAAAATATTCATGTCTCTGTTTTTTAAACAGTTAAAGATGTTTTAAAATTTTAAACTTTTTCAATAAACAAAACACTACGTGTTTGGATTTAAAACACTAAAACGTTTAAAATCGAACTATCTTTTATCATTAAACGATTATTTTATAAAAATGTTTCAAAATGTAAAAATGTTAGCACTTTTTACAGTGTTTTTATTCTCTTTTTTTACACTTTTATTCCTCTTTTTATTGCTTATTGTTTGTTCTTAGAAGACTTGTCCTACAGTATTAATAAATGCCTTCGTCTATCTACCTATCTGCCTGTCTATCTCTCTTTCATTGCTCTTCAACGCAGTTTCGATATACGATACAATTCTTATAAAAGTACCGCGAACATTTCGTTCATAGAGTTTCGCTCGGATTCTTGCAGGTGATGACCGGAGCTGATAAGAAGAAGCTCTACTTCAACGTGGTGCAGGGACCGAAGGAGAACCAGACTGTCACTGTGGAAGGCGGTGGCGTGAACGCCACCATCATCACCGCCAACATCGCCGCCACCAACGGGATTATCCACATAATCGACAGGCTTCTCGGGGTGCCCTACACCACCGTGCTCGACAAACTCAGGACTGATCCGATGCTCAAGTGAGTCCCTTACCTTCTACCTCATCTTTATTCATCTTTATGCAAAGCGACTCGGATCATCGACTCTCTGGTTTTATGAAAGATCTCGAGCGTCGCGCTAGTGGCATTTTAAAAAACACGAAAAGCAGACGGGCGCGTAAAAGACATCCATTATCCGATAGAGTCCACTTGCAATTCCGTTTAATTTTACGAGAAGAGTTCACGTTTTCGTTGTATTTAAATCTTTAATTTTACGTTCCAGAGTAATGTGAACAGGAATTATGTAAATCGTTGCGCCGAGGCGTCCGGAATTTCCACTCCATTTCGTATTCTCCTCCTTCCACGGGAGAATAAAATACAGGATTTCGATTTTCTGTTCGTACACGACGAAATGATATACCGGACGATTCGTCCCTCGCGAGAAAAATATCTCTATCTCGGTAATTGCGAATACGACTGCTGCACACGTCCTTGGATACACGTGGGTCGGTCACGCGAACACGTGCGCTGGCCTCCACCCACGTGTAGATACGATCTTCGCAAGACGCACCATCACCGCTACACGCCTTATCCATTCCTGAAAGAGAATCTTATCCGCGCGTGACTCCGACGCGAACCTTTCTTCCGCACGACTCGCCCACCACACCCCCCCCCTCCCCTGTGTCTCGCTCCCTCCGCTTCCTCTCCTCGCTCTCGTTCGAATTTAATTAAAATAACGCAACAAATCCCCATTCCAATTACCGCGGCCCCGTCGACCCCGCCTGTCCCGTCGACGTAAAAAACTATAACCGTGCAGAAGTCTTACCCCTGGAATTGTACAGTTCCGCAGGGCACCACGTCGTACCTATTAAATTCGTAGCCGGGCGTGTCCCTCCACGCGCCGATATTGCCTCCTTGTCCAATTTAACGGTCGACACTCGAAGCGCCGCGCAAAAAGCAAATAAACTCACTCGGCGAGATTACCCGGCTAGAGCATACCGGGCTCGGAGTACGAACTCTCGGCGCATCTAGACTCGCCCCGTTTAACTTTGGCTATCCTCGAATCTGGAAGATTAGGAGAATCTCGAGATTCGTGAACTTCCGGAAACGATTAGACCGCGAGATTAAAGCATCGAGGTATCGAAATTTGTAGAGCCTATGGAATCCAAAAAAGTGCACGTCCTAAAGCCATTCATAGATGAATGAATTCACGATTTTCTAATAATTAACAGATTTATTGACGCAGATAGAATGACTCTTATAGAATCTAACGATCCGCGCATTTAGAGCCTAGAATGAGGCTTAACAAGAGTCCAGTTATAATTATCCAGAACTGATTCGATTCTCCTTTTGGAAGATGTTAAATACAAAAGACACCGTTGAAAAATTCACGTTAACTTAGACACATTTCACGTGTTCCAAATGGACCATTCAAATTTATGTGTTAATATAATACAAGATGAATATATTAAAAAGTAACGCAAATATTATTTAAAGGGAAAAACACAAAAAGGTGATACTAACACAGTTTGTAAACAAATGGAAGCATTTTATTCAGTAAAACTAACATTCGTGATATGTTACATTAATACATATATTTTAGCTATTCATACTAGAATTTACACTGTAAAATACATTATTTATTATTCGTTCATTTATTTATAAATTGCATATTTTAACACTAAGAAATGTTGAATATTAATTTAACACAAACTATTTAAATAATATAATCATATTGTTTTAAATTAACGCTGAAAATATATTAAAAGAGATATTAAACAAAAATATATTAAAAAACAAAAATATATAAAAAATTTAACACAAGGTTTTAACAAAGATTTGAGCTGTTTCCAATACTAATGTTTTTTTACTGGTCACGTGTTTTTTATATCGATCGATTAAATTTAAGATTTAAAGAGTGAAATAATCCTTAAAAGCTAACGCTTACATTTGATTCGAATCAATTGTCAACGAAACAGTGAGATATATAAAAAAATTGTTTCAGACAAAACTTTTATAGTTTTTATATACCGTGTACACATTTAGATTTTTAACAAATCTGACATTTAAAAAATATCTCTATCCCCATTAAGTTTGTAAATGGAGTTGTTTCACCCTTTAAATCTCAAATTTAGTCGATATAAAAAATATGTGTCTTTAAAATTTTTCCATTTAGCAACACATTTAAAGAAAAATCGAATCGGTACCAAACCGACTGTGACAGGATTCTTGTGAGATACAACAACTGAGGGTTTTTTGATAGAAGATTGTTTATGTACGCTGATCCAAATAACCGGCCAACAATCGTGCCTCATCATACTGTCGGCGGCTTTCCGCGCGAAGAAAGCTGCGGATTATCTCCTAATTTAAAATTATAATTGATAACCCGTGGACGGGTCTTGCGTGGAGTTCTCCGCAGCGTCGGGAGATACGACGGGCGGGCTCGGCGGCTTTATAAAGAGCGGAGAGATCAACTCCCGTGGTAGAGGGCGGATTAAATCCCGTAAGAGGCAGCGGGAAGGTGAGAGCTCCCGGAGAAGCGAGAATAGAGTAAACATCGCGTTGTTACCACAGTCTACTCCCGCAATCCCCCGCAACTAAAAAATTTTCGCGCTGTGTTTAACTCGCACGCTCCTGATTCAATTAAAACGATTTAAGCAACGCGGATGAAGCACATTATGAGAGACGTTACTTACAATCTTGATCCTTAAAATACCGAAATCATATCGACGTTTCATCGACACGAAATTGATCGCCGATATTTCTCCCTGTCTTTTTCAGCTCGACCTATTTACTGGGTCAACGACGTGGATTCAATGATCAGTTGAACGATACGACGAAGCGATTCACGTACTTCGTTCCATATGATTACGCCTGGAAAGACGCGGAGAATAACTATCCATCAACTACTAAGAAGCTCTTCATGCCCGAGTTCAGTTATCACGTGAGTAAACTTCCTAGATGCGCGCGTACTGCATCTTAAACTTTTATATTCAAGATTATTCCCGTCAGAGCTGTGCATCTCTTAATCTTCTTGTCTCGTTGGATCTTTAAATTTTTAAATGATTGTACCTTTCGAGTCTTCGAGGTCACAGACAAAAGGACCCTATACTGTAATCGCACATATGGAAAAAGTGGTTTAGTCAAATTGACTGGAATCCTAATATTTCAATGTACAAAAGCCTTCATAGACACTACCATCAATAATAGCCAGATTTTATTGTAACACCATTTGAAAGTTATTATTTTCTAATTGAATTTAAAAATACTTTTATCTACTAAACTATTTATTTTTTGGTAATTATACCTTAATACTTTTATACACAAAATAATAAGATGAATCAATTAGTGTAAAAAAACACATCGTTGTTTTAAAAAAAATATGTAGTTGCATATTGCAAATTGCATAATTTTTGTAAAAAGCAATTGTTTGTTTTCTTCGCATCACTTGAGATTTATCTCATTATTCTAAAAAGTATTAAGGTTATCTACTAAAAATAAATAGTAGATGAAGGTACTTTTTTCAATTCGATTTGATAACAAGAAATAACAACTTTCACAAAATATAAAACATTACGGCAAATCTATAATATCCATTCTTTGATTATGGTTATGTTTATGAAGACTTTCGATTAGCAAAACTGAAAACTTAATGTTATTTTATCATCTACAAAATATCGTAGCTTTAACCAATTTGATTAAAGCCGCTTTTTCCTTATGGCACAGATTTTAGTACCTTTAGATTTTTATTAGGTCGGAGGAAAAGTTCTGCAGATTTTTGTTAGCTCAAAGTTAAAATTGCTCATTTAAAAAATGAACAATTCTGCCATTCAATAGAACAAAGTTTCAGCTTTAAGACTCTGATTTTTTAATTGCGGTACAATAATTTTTAACGGAGTTGTGAGCAATCAAAATCAGAATGCTCCGTTACTTAACTTGCGAATGACTCAAGAAAATCATAGGAACATTTCTAAAAAACGATTTTGTAGGGAAAACTTTAAGCTTTCACGATAGATAGTCAAAAATTTTCTCAAATTTTTTTCGAGCACGTGAAAGACCCACAAAGTGAAAAGAAAATTCTTTATCTTTTTCAGCTCATAGTTTATTATATGTAAAAATTACCAAATTCACAGAAACTCAAAAAATATAGTAACCTTTCAAAGGTACAAATTTCAAGCTTTAAAATCCTTTTTTAAATCTAAATTTTATTCATTTTTTACGAAGAGATATTGTATATATAATTTGAGCTAACAAAAATCCGTAGAACTTTTCCTCCGACCCAATATTATTCTCTCGAATGTACGATAGCACGAGGAGTCGACCGTCAAGAAAAATCTCAATGTGCGTCCAACTGCAAAAGTATATATAATGCGTTTACAGACGAAGCAGATATTGGAGCGACACCTTGTAATAGCGGATCAGGCGTACACGATGGCGAAGCTCAAAGAGATGAGCAACGACACCATCTACCTCCCAGCGGCTAGAGACATTCTAAAGCTTCGCATCAAGGAGCAGAGCGAAAGTGAGTAGACAAGTTTCAAAACGATACGTCTGTCGCACCTTAATGTCAGCATCGGCAGTTTCGAACGTTTCGCGAAAATTTCACTCGTCTGACACGGAAAACAGCGCGAAGTCTCGTATTCGCGCGAGCGTAATCTAGACGCGCGAATTCGGGATACGTTAGAGAAGCATAGGGACAGTTTCCTCGGTGACACAAACGCGTTTCCTTCCTTACAAACATTAGCTATCTAGAGCGATAGCCCAGTTATCTTGTCTCGCGACTTACGCGCGAGCGAGACGCGGAACCGTCACGGGAGATGCCGCGTCCCCACGCCTGTCACCGACACTCTCAAACCTGGTGCTGTCTGATTACATGTAGATGAGAGGCAAGACGAAAATGCAATCCGTCCAGAGACATCCGGTGAGTGAGCTAAGTGTGTTTAAACGTCGCCAATGAGCGACGACACGAGCGCTTTCACTTTGTACGAGCAGCACAATTACGGATTGCGACTACCGAAGGAGTGCACCCGTCTTACGCACTGCGTTACGCTGCACTCGCGCGTACATGCCGTGTTACGTGTCTGTGCGCGCGGGAGAATGAAACTCGTGCGTAACTCCCGCCTCAGCGAAGTTCGTTTTCTAATTGCCGGATCCGTGGACTCTGGGATGCGTAAATTGCGTAAATTGGAATGTGCGAGATTTAACGATATCGGACAATCTCGTATTTTTAACACTTGACTCTAGAATATTGTTATGGGTGAATTCTTTTGAGTTTAGTAGAGTGCTTGTTCTATTAAAATTTTGGTAACTTAAAATGATGTTTACCTCTTTGAAGATGGAAGAGGCTTTCTAACAAAGAAACTTAAAGAAGACCTTGTTCTAACGGTTTGTAGTAGGGGGTTTGTTGAATTCAATTCTGATCTCAGGATTCAAATTTCAAAAAAATAATCTGATCATCGTAAAATTTAGTTCTTGATGTCATTGAGTTTGAAAAATATCAAATTTTAAAAATTTATTAATAACTTCCAATAATAGAGGATCTAGTTATTACAAGGCTCACAATCAGAGTTGAAAGTCAGTTTGAAAATAAATATTGTTTTTGTATCACGGATAAACTTCAAATAAGCAAAACCTGAAACTTGATATTATTTTGCAATTAAAAATTCCCTAAAAGCAAACTTTATGATTTCAATTTTTTATTTTTTTGATCTCAGATTCGAATAAAGCATTATCAAATTATTCTATAGATCAAATTTCATAAAAAAAATTAAACAAATTTATAAAATAAAAAGCGATATTTAAAAAAAATGGAGTCACTTGTCAACAAAGAGTAAATAAGATTGTTTAACATTAAAATAGTATTAGTTCAATTATACCTTATTTACATTTTAATCTATAATATAAATTAGACAAAAGAGTGTAGAAAGTAAAAAAGTTTTTAATTATGTGAGTGAATTTTCACTCAAAATAGTTAATGCAGAAAAAATGTGAGATGCATTCCAGCGTTAAACTCTATAATTTTATGATAATTTCATGAAAAAATTGTAATTTTAATTAAATATAAGGCGCACGTTTCTTCTGCGTGAAAGAATACGGGAGAGGACTAAGCATCCCAAGAACCATCCACGGATCCAGAAAATCTTACGCTCGCAAAATCTTGGTATCTTTAGATCCTTGGGTGCTGCCTTTCGTGCAACGATTCTAATTTGTTTTCTGTATGATCGTACGCCGAGCTTGTGCGCTTACGCTGACGCTTACGCTTACGCATACGAAGGATCTAACGCGGGGAAAAAGCAATGCCCCTTTGAAACGAAACGAACTTCGCTCGACGCGTAGAGACTGCGTAGACCTCGTTCGCACGGAGATTAGTGATCAGCCGTCGATCAGCTTCGTTTAATTATTTTCTATTATTTGGGATATTGCATCGCAGTTGAATTATACATTGCATCTGTACATTGCAGACGTCCTCGAACTGCGAAATTTGGTATGAATTTTTCGTTTTAAAAGTCTTCCTCGTTACTTCCGCAACGCTTGAGAGTCCCTGCCTTACCACGATCGAACCCGCTGTTTAATAATACAGGAGACCATAAATGAACCGGACCGGAAAATCAAAACTGTCCCGATTTTCGCGATCAATTTAGAACCGGGACTCTCAATCCTGCGGGAATCACGCATTCACGCCGCAATTTTCGTTACAGTCGCAAGCGGGACCCCAGGGGAACTTAGCGCGGAGTCCAAAGTCACTGAATCGAGATAAGCGAGAGCAACAATACTCATTGTGAACGGCGGAATTAATTACGACGAGCAGAACGCCATTGTTGCGCGTAAATTAATTGCGACAACAACGGCAATAGGATATCATTACCTTTGTCGCAACGAAAACGAGGAACCGCTTCCCCACCCCGTTTCGCGATTACTATTTACCGTACGACCTTTGCGTGCGTGAACGTGCGACACGTGGTAATAAGGGTAAGGAACTTGGAAGAATGCACGGAATCTTACGGAGGGAATCATCCGGTAGCGCGAGGGCGATAAAATTCTACTCGATCTGCTGTCCCATAAAAGAGAAAATGATTCGCATCGTTTAATCTATACATACGTATGTGTATGGAGATATTAATCCCTTAATATCTAGCCGCGTTCTACACAATAAGCGGTCGAAAGCCAGCTGCCCGCCATTGTATTAACATTAAAGCGACAGTAATTTGTTATGCGGGGGTCGATACTAATTACTTTCCCGGTGATTCGACTGCGTGTTGTTTCGACAAATTCACCTACGGGAGAAACAAAATGGCACCCTGCGAATATTAATGAAGCCATCTACTAATCGAAACGATCGAAATGTAAAAGTGTTTGTAATATTTCGCTTGATTTCAATTGGAAACTCTTAGAAACAATTCAGATAACAAATAACGCGTAACAATCGGTTGTTATTATGTATTAATCTGTTTTGTTGAAATATATCTCTACACAATTTTTATAAGTAGATGAAAATAATTTATGGAATTATCAAAATAATTATGTAGGTCGCTCAAAAACTGATTATACTAAAATATCAAAATTTTTTATAGCATTGCTCATTTCTTAGTAAAAAAAATTTCGCTGAAATTCCATTTTTTGGAACATTTTAGTGAAATTCTTGAAAATTTACTGAATATTCACTGAAAGTGAATTTTTCAGCTAATATACTGAAAAATTGTTAGGAAACTGAAATTTTTCTAACACCCTGAAATTTTGCTGTAAACTGTTTCCAACCGTGAAATAATTTCAATGAAATTTTTTCACCAGGTATAGATTTCAGTTTCTTATAATTATTTTGATGATCCAACGTGATTATTTTCAGTTTTTCGATGAAAACTGTAGCTGGAGATGTTAAGAGCAAAGAAAGAGTTAATTTCACCTTTCAACTCAAATTTCATTTCATCGGTTTCTTTTCAGCCAGATCAGAGAGACTCGTATTTAAATCAGATTTATGTTTAAATTTTTAGATAATTTAGCAAAATCATCTTTCTGTACGGTACGTATTTTTCGCGCAAGTTCAACACAAATAAACTACTCAAAAGAGGACTTCGTTTCCGTATATGTTACCGCGGCGAGATGCGGCGAGTCCAACTTCCGTCGCGTCGCGTAAAGTCCAGGAAATTCTCAAACGGATGCAACGCAACCCCCATCCCCTAAACAGTCCCTTTCACGTTCTCGCGTTTTGACGCCAAAGTATGATGAATATCTGGCCACCGCGCGCTGGGATTTTTCCGCGTTATCGAAAATGAAACTCGCCAGTGACTCGTCGTTTCGCGAAAAATATGTCGCCTCTCGAGCACCTCTCGAACGCGGAAGCCGGAAACGAATGCGCGCCCCATTATGTGCCGGAACCGCAGGGCGATTTATTATGCACCTTTCGACCACCATTTAAATGCAAATTCCTTGATTACCCGCGGCGCTAATTGCTACGTGCTCGCTCGGTTATTCGCTCTCGCCTATGAGCAAATTTCCGAGGCGTTTCCCAAGCTCGCGACCGTCGCTTTTACCGCTCTGTTTTACAATCTTGCGAAAGGGTACCGGAGGAGAGCGAGAAAAAGATTGAGATCGGTAGACCCCTTCGTTAAGCGAGGCGAAGACATGCTTAAACGTGAAAGGTAGTGTTGGAAGAACAAGTGTTACTTTCGTATTCGAAATACAGCGACGATAACATACTGAAAAAAGTTTGATAATAGCTAAATATTGAGTGGAACACGTCTACGAAGTAAGCTTGGATAAGAAGTAAGAATAAGAAATTGAAACCAATCACAATCGAATGTGAGATCTGTGATCGACTGTGTATGGCAATTTCATACTCTTACTTCTTACACCAAATTTACCCCGCATATTGTAAACGTCGTAAAACAGTTTCAACCAAATATTTAGTTAATATAACCAAAAATAATTGTGCTTTCCTAAATATTCAGAAAAATAAAATTACTTTTGATTATATTAACCGAACATTTCGTTGAAATTATGTCACTCAACGTATGTGGTAGCTGTTAGCAAACTCTTTTTTCGGTGCACGTCAAATGGAAATTTTATTTGCGGTCATATGGCGTCGTTTGTGTTTCTCACTAGATATTATCGCTGAATTTAGTTCATCGAACGTTATTAGAAAGTTGATTCTCTCTATTTTATTTTTAATCCATCGATTTTTCTTTTTAGCATCTCACGACGTTTATTTTGGGATCTCTAGACTATTCTCCCATCATCGAATTTTCATTCGAGATTCGGCGGGAGAGAGCTTTGTATTCTGCATCGCAGTACCGCTTCACTTACGCATCACGCGGTTTCCTCGATCCTCGTTCAAAGATCATCGTCAAGTTTCTCTCTTTTTCAGGCTACCAAGTGGAATGGGAGGGCAAGAAGGTCCGCATTATCCGTCCGGACGTCGAATGCACCAACGGCATCATCCACGTGATCGACTCTGTGTTCCTCAAGGATAGCGACGTCCGGGTGACGGGCGGCGCTTCGCTGGCCACCTTGACGCCTCATCTAATCATGATACTGATAGCCAAGTGGCACCTGTAAAAACCCTCATCGCGTCGCATCGTCTCGTATCTGCGGCAGGTGCGTCTATAGGAATTCTCCTTGGGGGCCGTCTCCTATCGTCCTCGAGCGGCGGCGACAACGACGACGCAACGCGGGTAGGCACGGTCGATCGACCCGTTCGATCCGAAAGAACATTTATTGTGCACGGGGAAATGAAGGGGAAAAGGGGTGGGCAGGGAAAAGTTGGGAATCCGAAGATCCGGTGGTGACCGAGAATCCGCGAGATCAGAGATCCATGGGACTTAAACGATCCGAGAATCGACGGGGATTCGCGGCATCCGGAGATCCAAGGATTCGTTCACGTACGTGGCTCTAACAAGATCGCCAATCTGCTAACGTGAACGTGAAGGGGAGGGAGGGGGGGGGGGGAGGGGGGCTGGAAGAAAAGTGTCCGATCGGTTACTTTATAGCGATCGTACGGAGGCACGAAGGAAGCTCTCGCCGAGGGAACGACGCGAGGACGATCGAGCACTCACGATCGCACGGCCTCAGAATGCCAGGATAGCCTATTATTTATTGAGTAATCGTCCGTGGACATAGCGGGACAATTTTACGGGTTAGAAGCGTTAATCGTACCAAATAAATGGTTAATCACGTACCAAGTAATCTAAATAAATTTATTGCGTGACGGAGGGGCGTGAAGAGGCAGAGGAGAGGTAGAGATTTCGAGGAACCTACTTCGAGTATCAAGGCAACGATGAAATCGCATCTTGTAAGATCATGCGACTGTCAGCGAACGACGCAGATATGCAAATAAAATCGCGTTTTAACTATCGATCGTTATTTCCATTATTATCTACGGAATCATATTGACAAAAATTTAAGTTCGCGTCTTAACAAACCTTGAGAGAAAAATTGTGATTTTACATGTGTGAATAAGACGAGCGATAATTATGCGATTTAATTGCATATCTTACGCGCCATTCTGTAGAATTAATAGGAACTTAATGACGTATCAAAACGTTCCACACGACTCTTAGAACAAGATTTCGCCATTTCCTCGCGGAATTCTACGGTTTTATATACGACAAGTACGATTTTATACAATCGTGAACATAAAGTCAGAAATCCTTTCCCTCCAAAGCGACAACGGTAATAAAGCTAGACGCGATGCTGATCACCCGTTTCAATCAACGACAGTAATAACGTCGAGACGCAATATCGATCACTCCGAATAAGTAAGCATTTTCGGAATAAAGAGATCCATCCCGAATCTTACTATTTCGAAATTCATCAATTTCAGGATTCTACGTATTCTCTTTGGCATCCATGGATCCTCTCGGAGAACGGGACAGTCGGATTTCTATCAAATCTCAGGACGCCTGTTGATCCTTAAATCCGTAGATATGTGGATTTTCTCTTTTTCGACTTTTCGAGCGGGATCCACGGATCCTCGAACTCCTAATAGACAAGATTGTTCTCTTCAGCTGAACTTTTCTTGCACAGTTCATCTTTCTTCTTTTTCTCTCTACGTAGAAGAAAAAAAAAAATAAAAGATGAACGTGCAAGAAGTTCAGTTCAAAAAGAACAGGCCTCATACTTTCGAGTTAGAAATCCAAGTAAGAATCTGATCACCCGAAACAAATATGGCGGCAATACTTCCACAAGCTTCATGTAGTTCCACTTATACCTCTTACTATGAGCGCAGCTAAAGGCAACAGAGGTGGCTAATGACTTCTCTAAATCTTAAGGAACAAAAATAATTAAAACCGCAACAAACTGTGCTAAATAATTTACAAAAAATTAATTTTGGAAAAGAAAAAAGAATTAGAATCTTATACATATAAAAACGAGTAAATATGATATATAATCGGCCAAATGACAAATCGTAATCTTACACGTATCTATATATAGAAATATTTTCTGAGAATCCAAGACAGCCACTGTCATAAATTTAAATTTTTTCGAAGAAACAGTTTAAAATAAAAAAAGGTAAATAAATATATGTGATTTTGTGATTTACCTGCTAGTAATTAATTTAAAAAATATACTATAACAAGTCCAATAATCCACTCGACTACCCTTCGTCCTCCACCAAATTCAAAAATATCAACTTTAATTTGGTCTCTTCTCAAACAAAATTCTAGCTTGTGCAATGCTGCTGTATTTGTCTCGCAAACAAATTGTTGAGTGCTCAGAGACTTTTACTTGAGGGTCTTTACTTCGAGTATCCGTGGATCCTCAGTCGATCGGTCGATCTAATAATCATTGCCGTCAGTTAGCGTCGTTGTATCAATTCGTGGCAGCCTTATGGTGGAAACCGGATCGAACACCGACACAGACAGACGCGTACAAAACACATCAATGTCACCTCGATATGGCGAATGTATTCCGGGGTGCGAGCGCATAGCGACGCGAACGGGGTGAACGTTTAGCCCCCTCCTCCCCTTGTTAAACCTCGACGTTCAGAAAACGTCGCTCCTTTTAAGACACCGTGTTTTCGAGCCTTTCGTCGTCACGGAAGGGTTTATACGGCCACCATGGCTGCTCAGGGACGGCCCCGAACGATACCCCGCTATGTATCATATCGTATTTACGCTGTCTACTTACCGAGAATACTGCCATGCACGCGGGCTTGCGGACGAGCTTGCAAACGAGTTTTTGTACGATAATTATTAACAGAGGGAGAGTGAAAGGTAGAGAAAGAAAAAGAGAAGAGAGAGGAAAAGCGAGAACGCTCTATCTCGAAACCGGCGATCCCTAAAAAAAAAAAAAAAAACAAAAAATAAGTGCGTTAAACTGTTACACGAATCTAGAAGCGCGAGGAAATAAAGTATCTTAACTTATGGATGCACAAGGGGAGGAAAAGAAGACGTTTGGCACTTTTAGCTTCTATTAGTTTTGTAACTTTATAACAGAAAGCAATATCCCCTTAATTTTCTCTCGTATTATCTAGGATACGGTAACTTTTGAAAGAGGAACTAATAGGAATTCATTTCGTGGAGTTAAGTTGAGGAGAAAAGACGGTTTGCTGCACAACGCGTATCTTAATACTTGTTAAAGAATTAAATTACAAAAAGGTCGCTGAATTAATTCCCAACAAAGAAATTCGTCCGCAGAATGAGTTCCTGTTAATCCTCCTTGATTCGCCTATTTTGTTTTTTTACAGGAACGGAAAGACATTCCGTGACCATATCTACTCTAGGTGCACGGCACGCGCTATCGTTCTATCGTAATAACTACATCTCGATGAACTTTCTTTTCCCTCCACGCTCATCGCATTATTACAGACACACGTACAGGCACACGCATATATACACACGCACACCTTGCCCGTCGAGTAGCGAACTTACCATTAAGATCTTAGCTGTATGCGTGCGAGCAATAGCGACGGCCCATCTCAGAAGGAAAGTCCGAAAGACGCGGCTAAAAGGAAACTGGTATAAGCTAATGAAGTCGATGAGACGCACTCATGCACATTAAAACCGTTGTGTACAAATTAACGTAAAGATATTGGATATACGTTTAACTCTGGAATTATACCACAAGGGTTACCCCAGTCGAAATTTTGCTTACTCCAAGAAAAGGAAGTTCTATTTTACAACTTGACATAATAACACTTTTTGGTATTACAATCGACGCAGGTACATTTCTAAATCGTAGAAAGTATCAAATTAGAAAAAAAGATAGTCTAAAAATATTAATCTGAACCGAAGTTCCAGTCTATTCTAGTGGGTTCGGAAGTCTATTGTAACTTGGAGAGGTGTGTCTTCAGAATTTTTTGGAAGATGTGTATTCTGTAAGGGTTAATATAAATACAGAAACGGTTAAATCCCATTAATATACTTTATTGTGCTGTTAGATAAAATATATGTATTTTATAATTCGAAATATTTGCATTTCATTTTTATACTCAAATTAAATTCATATGCAACGGCTTTAATATACACCAGTTTACAGTAGTGCGACCAATCGAGTTCACTATTAGAATCGATAATCAAATGAGATCCGAGTCGAAAGACGGGAATTAATTCTTTCATTGGCTACAAGTTGAAAAAAGGGTAAGTTAGCATTTCTTCGAGCACTCTTTCGATGGACACGATAAATATTGAAAATCTTTGATATGTGCAAATATATTTCTCAGATACGTACCGTTTTAAACGCATCGCGAGAGGATTTTGACTCGTATAGATTATTGAATTTTTAAATATCCGCATATCTTAGAAACGATCTGAGACCCAAAGAGACGCGGAGTAGAAGCAGAACTTTATTCGTCAATTAATCGAACGTCCCTTAGTGAGAGTATTCTCGCGCAAGCTTATCTATTAAGGAAATGAATATTAAAAGATAATGAATATTAAAGGACAAACGGAGCTTTCCATTCAGCCGTCTTCGCTAAGGTAAAATCGATTTCACATTCTCTCACGAATAAAGTCCTGCTGCAAGCGCTACGCTTGCTTGTAGCGCGAACGGATTAAAATAAGAAAAAAGAAACGAATACTCGACACGTTCGTATAGCTCGAAGGGGGTGATAAAGCCTCGAAATTTCGTGTCCTCCTTGAGGACGAGCCGGAAGTAAATGCAGTAAGAGAAGCGCAAGATGGTTCAACTGATAAAACGCCGAAAACCTAAATGAAAGACAATTGATTGATCGGATCGTCGTTAAGTTTCGCAACACGGTCCGATTACTTGTTTGCATTAGTAACGTATAAAAAAAAAAGATTGTAATTAGCGGGCGCGTAATCGGAGCAGCCACAACCTTCTCCACGAGAACTTGATTTAACAAGAAAAAAAAAAACGTCGATGTTATACGTGTTGATATCAGTCTATACATATATATAAAACAAATAAAGATATATATAATAAACAGAGATATATATTAATGAGGAAGAAAGTATCGATCGAAGAAGACCGAGTCGAGGGGAAAATACGGAAGGGTAGATAAAAAGAAAAGAGAATAAAAGATTGAAACAGAAAAGAAACAAAATACTATCAGATGATAACTTAAACTTGTTGTTGGGATGAATTGATATTACGAATTATTATTATTATTACAATTATTACCTATATAAAATATACATAAACTCTAATTAATACTGTTTGCTCGTTAGATGAACTAAGAAAAAGGAAAAAAAATAGCGAAACTCTATTTCTCCGTGTAGATGTGTCTTAATGTTCAGCTTGCTCGGCAGCCACGCAGTCGTCACTAAGTGAGCTGAGTTCGGGGTTGCCATAAATCGAAGGGGGATGATTCGAGTCGATACGCGGGAGACGAGATCAAACGGACTGCCACGCGAGACTTAAAGAAAAAAAAATTTTTCACGCTCATAGAGCGAAAAGAACGTCGTACGGGAAAAAGATGTACACACGCCGCCGGTGTTGTTACTAACGTTGTAAAAGGGCCATAAATTGTTGAAAAATCGACCACCGTTCGCGAGTCGCGTTTTACAGATGAACGTTATCACATTCACGAATATATTCCAAGATTTTGTAACGTAAGGCGAAGTTATAACGTTCACACTTCGCCGTATGTTACAAAATCTTGCAATAACCCAGGAATAGTCACCTGAGATATTTTTATAACCTTAACGATGAGAAAATGTGAATTGTTGTAAAATGAATATTATTTTCTTTCTTTTGTAATAATTATTACAAACCTTTAAATACACAATTCCATCGAAAACTTATTATAAAAAGGTTATATTAATTAAAAATCTTTATTTTTTATAAATGCTATTGGAAATATTCATAATAAGCTACTTAATTATGCTTATTATGTTTAATATTTCTTTGGTTCTTACTTACTTTTTCAAAAAATTGTAAGTCTGTAATGCTCTCAAATGCCAATAAACTGAAAAACAATATATTATTAATATACAATGTATTATTAATAATGGTGATTTGAATTGAGGTATAAAAGCATCCCAGGTAATCGTTTACATAAAAAAAAATAAAATGACTATTCCAGGGTTAATATTGTTGAAACGTATATAAAATTTAAATTACTCTTCTCTGTTTGGATTTCGCGAACGATGGTTGATTGGTCCCACGAAAAAAATAAAAGAAAGAAAAGATTACGAGAAAGTGCATTTATGATTTCCAATTCGCAAGCGAAGCTACAGCGAACAAATACATACAGCTAAGTTTAGCTATCCTTACGAATAGTTGTTAACTGTAGGATTACAAATAGTACCAGAACCGTGATCCTCGTAGAAGTGAATAGACAATTGCGTGAATCGTTTGCCGAAATCCGAATGCCTGCGGATCCTCATGAAAGTAAACGATCTGCGATTCAAAAGTACGCGATATTTAGAGTATAAAAGATAAAATGATTTCAGCGTTTATGGGTCTGTAGATATTCGGATTTTGGCAGCGTTTATAGATCAAAATCCCTAAGCTACTCACACATTCCTAGAAACGTTTCGTTGAAAACGTTAATCGTTGAGAAAACCCTTGACACGCCATTGCCAACGAATGTTAATCGCGGCATCGATCACAGTCCCTGCTGTCGTCTTTTTTTATCATCCCTATTATTACTCCTCCGCTGTTCTGTTCCGCGAGAACACTGGCGAGAACGATTGCGAACGCCCAGCATCGATGTTTCGCGTTCACGCGTTTTCCTGTACCACATGCAACACTAACAGAAAAAGGAAGTGTTTAATCTTGAAACAGTAAAATGCCTTATTCTTGTCTCCGTTTTTAAATACTTAACCCTTCTCGTGATCACTTCTTCTGAGATCAAAATGACTCCAAAGCGCATTTAACGATTACAATAGTTCTATGAAGTAAAAAAATTACTGATTAAATAAGCTTTGGGGGATAATTTTGGGATAATTTCAGTGTAAACACGAAGGGTTAAAGATGTTTCAGTTTTCAATTTTTTTCAATAAACACAGTGTTTTGTTTATTGGAAAAGTTTAAAATTAAAATATCTTTTAAGCGTTTTTAAAAAAACGGAGATAAGAGAATAAAACATTTTAACATTTTAAAATTAAACGCTTTTTTTTAGTACACATATGTACTCACACACACACACACACACATATATACATATGTACACAAAAAATGCACGCGTGCATTTAGAAGTCTCTCACGAAGGCAGACGTTCCCTCTGTCCTCGTCGTCGCACGATCATTTCGAGCCACATGTTGTAAACATGTTTCGCACTCGTATCCGATTATTTAAAGACTCGACGATCCGGAATTGCTGGGATCCCGAAGGCTTTCAGAAGCGGTTCCTGCAGGGTAACCGGCGCTTCCGGAAGCTCCTGATGACCGGAAGCGGAGCCGAGACTCCCCTGGGACTCGCGGTTGCTGGCTCAAGGATTTCAGGCATCAGCGGTTTCAAGGATACGCTACTGATTGCATTTACGCGCGTAGCCGAGGAACGGCAGCGCGTTTTTTTTTTTTAGAGCAGGCTCGAAGAAACGTGGCGCCACGCGCCGCGACGTTAACGTTCGCGTTAGCTTAAGTACGGGGTTTTTAAGCTTTTTAAAGTTACGGCCGCCGGGGGGGAGCGCGATATCCCCTTCTCTCTCGCCCCGGTTGGCGGCAGGTGATACCGGTAAGTGCAACCAGTAACTTAAGCACGCCACACACCATTACGGTAAATCATTAATATGTAAGAGTATAGAGTATGTAAAGTGACATAAAAGAAGACGGGAGGTCGCAGGCGAGAGATCGTGGTTTTTAAAATTCCGAATGAACGAAGAGCGTATATATATAAATATAAATATATGAATATAAATATAAATATAAATATAAAATGTAAGCGATTTCGTATTTTAAGCGCCGGATAGGCGGGTTTCACAGAAATTAACTGACGAACTATTAAGGTTTATTATTTATTAGCTATTATACAAAAGTATATGATATAAATATATGTATATTATATAAACCTTATACTAGTAGGGGAAATCAAATTTTATGTACCACAGAGCTATTTGTATAAAAGGCATTTGTTTCACCACACGAATCATGAATTGTCATCGCTGGACATTTGATTGCCCATCATCGTCACTGCCGTCACCAGCTTGACGGCAACTTTAGGTAACATATATTTTGGATAATTAATCATGAGAGAATTTCTAGTTTTTATTAGGACCTTAGGTATATACGTACATTTGCATTACCTGTATTTTGTCAGGATTAGTTATTAAGTTTCTAAGTCACGTGCGCTTGTCAACGCGGAGACTGGCGTTTTTAGCGAACGATTTTTACGGAAGGACCTTGCTCTGTTCGGGCCAATCAAATTTGCAAAGGGAAAAGTCGAGGAGAGCGTATGTACCTTCGAGTTTGCGGGCGAATCGGCGGCGTGTCAATCCTTTCTGTCTGTAGATGAGAATTCAAAAAATAAAGAAAAATACCAAGATTGAAAAATCCAAAGAACTCCATTGATTCAAATCGATTTGAATTTAGAGATCGAGGAAGACTATGGATTCATGGAAGTGTTCAGATATTCAGACGAAAGATTAAACGATGTAATATCTTTAAGACTTCAAACACCTATTCCGATTCATTAATCACAATAAAAAAATTCTAAATTTTCTTTTTTCGCTTTAGAATAATATTATTCCCCCTAGAGATAAAGATTGATCGAGACAGGGGACGAACAGTTTCAAAAATCCGACTCGACCGTCGTTCGTTCGGCGAACATTCACTTCACTTGTATCTCGCTTCACTACACTGTGTAGATCCGATCGCTTTCGCTGTATGATTTTACAAAGAATAAAGAATACCTACAAGACACAGATCGGAAGGCGTTTATTGAACAGTCCACGATGACCCCAGCGGGATAGAAGATATGCACGGCGAAATGCGCCGACACGTGAGAGGTAAGTCTTGTATTTGTTTCGTTCACATTCTTTCGGTCACACGGCTATACATATCATTTCCTGCGATGTAGAGACCGTCTTTCAATTAAAGCTGAATGCAGAACGATATTGGTGCAATCGCCGGTCCAAATGCTCACGTAAAAAAGGTCGAAAATTATATTTAAAAAAAAATGTATAATACTAAACTTTAATATAAATATTTATTTGTGATAAAATACCACATTGAAAAAAAAATTTATTTAAGAATGGACGAATCTGAATTTTCTGGTTAAATTTATTATTAGAATTCTAATTGAGATAATCGGAATTCTCTCTCTGATTGATACAATATTTCTGGTTAAATCTAGAATTTTTATTTTTACTCTGAAATAATTATATATCGATCAGAATTCTAGTTATCTATTATTATTTAATCCGACCATTCAGTGCAACTAAACATTTACTTACAATAAATAAATATTCATTCAATAAAGAAAAGATTAGATATTAAACAAAATTAACGATTTTTTGTACCACAAATAAATATATCTTTGTATTTAGTAAATATATTTAGTTGGGGTACTATAATTATTTAATCACAGCTTTATTTATTAAAATATAAATTTTTTTTAGTTTACGATTTTATTTACTTTACATGGATTTTTCTTTCACGCACGAAAAGAATAGTTTTGCCGAAGTATCTAAAAATTTAACTTGATGATCATCAAAATAATTATGTAGCTCAAGCTAGATAGAATATAGAAACTTTTTACAACATTGTTATCAATGTTTAAACGTTCTATATAATTATTATTCTAATCCAACAAAATTATTTTCAGATTTGCATCTAAATTTTTAGATTGTACTTTTTTAAATTTAAAAAAAATTTGTATATTATACTTCAGCAAAACTATTCCTTCCGTGCAGATTTCGTGGATTTAGGTGCGAGCAAAACATTGGCGTAAGATACGTTTTTCAGTAGTTTATTTTAAACCTCGTGTTACAAGATAAGGCTAGCAGCAAGGCTTTGTTCGTGCGCGTGCATTTCGATTTCGTGTGTTGTACGTGTACGTAATGTGACGCGTGTAACAGAGTACATATGCGATTAATACGTTTACAATAAGATCGCCGGAAGGTCACGTGCAAAAATTACAATATCTTTCATTATCGATTCTTTTTCTTTTCTTCCCGCTTATCGTCGTCACGACTCACCTACGCTTTACGAAAAACTTTTCACGTCATTTATAGAAAAGCGTATAGAAGATACAGAAAAGTCCGAGTCAATCGACGAACTCGAAGATTCTCGAAATGGATGGAACTCTTAAAAAAATCGACACGCGTTCCAAAAGTGCAAAGACAGTGCGGGTTACTTAAATTATGACCTGTCGGATTAATTGCGACAATTCAGACTGATTGCGTCCTCACGTAGCGTGAGAGTATAAAATCTCTTTCTACAGTTCTACAATTCTGTTCTACGGCGCAGTACTTTTGATCTACGTATATTCTCCGTGGATTCAGTTATCCCGAATACATACAGCATGTACGATACCTATGACAATCAGCGTGATTTACATCAGTAAGACTTTTCCACATAATTATCTTCACCCACGTATTCGCGCTCCTTTTTCCCCCTCTCGTTCGCACCCGCATGCATACAGAGACAATTACGTCACTTTCTCTCTCGCGCGTCTATAATAAATTCATTCTCTCTCGTTACAACACGTAGGTCACATCGATTGATTAGAAACGATATTGAAGACAATATGTACAGATTGATTGTATACATGTATATGCTAAATTATTATTAATTTAAACGACGAGTTAGTACCTTAGCGAATATTACAGTGACATTGCACGCCGAGCGGAACGATCGGGTCGGTGGTATCGTTCTTTATTTGCATCTAATGAAAAATTTATGTATTCGCAATTAATTAATCAACTTTAGACATTCCAACATTTACTATTTAAGTGACAAATAATTTAAAAGAAGTAATGCAAAGAGGATTAAAGAATATAGAACATTAAATTAAAAAGTAAAATTTATCGATTCTTCTGTCCTTCAATCTTTTACCAATCTTTTACCAATTTACCAATTTTTCCTATACTTACCTCAGCCACAGCGATGCATTAAAATCATATAGACACAGCTATTCTGGATACAGCTATACGCTTATTTTAATAAATAAGAAACGGCAACTTGTTCTATCAAGAATACAGCGGTGAAAAGGATAATTTTGACAAAAGAAGAAAGAAAATGGAGAACACAGAACAGTTTGTACCCGATCGCTCAGTCACACTCGGTCGAAAGTTTGGTCAAATTAATTAATGAAATAACTTCTTCCCTCCTCGTATAAATATTTAAATAATCGAGTTAAGTAACCGTTTAGAGCAAACGGCGCGTATATTATATTAAAAAAGTTATCCCTTCGGCTCCTTGCACTTCCCTTATAAAATTCCCTCCGCGAAACTTATCTCCGACAACTTAACAATTATATATACGTTGCAACATGTATAACATATACATATGTATATGTATATATTAATTAACACTATCTCAATACGCGTTTTTATTCGACGATCTAAATTTATTACATCCTGACGCGTAATTGGAGTATCTTTCGCGCAGTATAGCTTTGTATGTGATGCAGGAATATATATTTATATAAATGTATATATCTATATATTTATTTAAAACAACAAAGACGAGAGACACCCACATATAATTTGCCATACGAAGCTTCCGACTTCTCCTCCACGTAATTCATATCGTATAATAATTTCAAGTGTCCGTTAATGCGGATTTCAAAACGAATCAGAGGATTTCGAATTCCATGAGTACAAAAATGGTACGCTTTCGAGAGATTCGACACTGCGCTGTGTAATGACGTATATTACATGAATGCATGTACGTGTGGGAGTAGATGCGTGTGGAGGCCGATTTATGGCGCGGTGCGTCTGACGCAGCGAAAAAATCGCGCGTGCTTATCAGCGTATCATTGTCGTCATCATCTTCATCGTCGCCGTTGCCATCGTCGTGGCGATCATCATCAGTGCATGGTCCAGCCGATGGTGTAGTTACGGGAAGCTCTTCCCATGCGGCGCAGGCGATCTGCCGAAAGAAACATGCTCGAGGGAGCCATTACGGTGGGAGGTGTTCCAGGGGCTTGATGATCGACGTGAGGATTTCCCAAGAATCGGCCTGGGAGACTTCGAGGTGGTGAAACTCGAGTTCACGCGGCCACGGATCCTCACATCCGCGGACATTTAGATCAAAGCTGCGTTCAGCAAGAAAAGTGACTTTGCAATTATAAGATTCTTTAATGTGATTGTATCCTCTCTCTTAGTTCCTCACTAGATATAAATGGTATAAATATAAATTAATTATATCAATCTTCTTTTATAAATCATATTCTGTTCATAATATTAATCTTTAAGTGGATTGGTGACCACAGCACACTAAACGTAGTTTTCTTAAAAATTTTATTATGAAATAGGAAAATGAAAAGTGTTATCTGGATGCTAAGAAGTCTCAAAGTTTATTATTTTTATATTCCTCTATTTCACAAAGATACTGATGTAAAATTAATAATTATGATATAATACACGCAGTTAATTCAACAATGAAATAAATATGTTATCCTCCTGTTTAAATAAAATTTTACTCGTTTCATTAATACTTTATTAATTTAACAAGATTATTTTCAATTAAAATGATGTTGTTGATTAACATAATTTTTTTCAGTGTACTAATAAAAAGTTATCTATAAAATTAAACAGTTATAATTCCCTGTGTTCTCTTAATTGGGAAAATGAATTTTCTTGTGTTCTTAGCACCTCACAGTTACAAACTTTAAAACTACCTACTTACTTAAAGATTAAAGAATCTTACAACAAAGTTACTTTTTCAGCCGAATGCAGCCAATGATTCTCGAAGGCGGGGCGATTCCAAAGTCATCGACTAAGCTCTTTGGATTCGCAGATCCTCGAACGCGCAGATCGAGAGATGATCGGATAAACGGGTACTGTGATGAGATTATTTTATCCAGCTTCAATTAATTTATCCGACGACTTCGTCCGCATTTCAAGTGTCGCTTCAGTCAATAAGAATAATCCTTCTTTTATGTAATGTTAGTAATTGAAAAACGAACTCAATTTCCGATATAAATGTTTAACAATATATAAAAGGATTGTCGTGATAATTTAATGAATAAATGAAAATTGTGCAGAATGTCCTAGGACGTAATATGAATCCTTGTAAGCGCGTAAAAGCTTCGTCGTGAAACCACGTCGTGATAAAACCGGCTGTTAAAGCTCTCGAAAAGTAAACGTAAAAGGACACGGGCAATCTGCATCACGATGATTCTTCAGAAGAGAGTAATTCGCACCGTCCGCTACCACTTTTCCCGGATTTCCCTTTTTTTCCCGTCTCGAGCTGGTCGTAAAGCAAAAGTAATTATCGCGGGTACTATGTCGAGCAACGACGATAAAACACTTTACGTGTCAGAAATTTATATACATGCATGGAGCTTGCCGCATTAATTCGCACAAGGATATATGTATAGTATGTGTGTCGCGCCTCGATGTGTACATGTGATCAGTGATCTCGCGGTTGTCCCTGTAAAGGCAACGAATTTCCCGCCGGCGTTAATTTCCGAGTCGCGATGAAAAGACGGAAATTGTATCGTTCGTTCACGTTACGTTATAATCACTTTTGCAACGCAACGAAAGTGTAATTGCGCTAACATATTATTACGGGCGTTTATTAGCCGCTTAATGGACGTGTTCAAGCCAACAAAAAAGTTAGCCTAATCGCCAAGCGATTTAACGTGATGATTATTACTTACAGATCCAATCAATTATATACTGTTAGATACCAAAAAAGTTACAACTCAAACTCTTGAGTTAAATAATATCTTATTACGTTTAATCTCCATCAAAATGTAAATCAATTCATTTCTGTGATTGAATCGCTTAGTTTCAAAGTAAATATAATGTCTATATTAAGATATACAATTATTTAAAATAATAAACTAAATTTCAGTCAATTTTAATACATATTTTTTAGTTAAATTGTTGAACTCCATTGTTTTTTAAATTAACGATATATTGAATAGAAGTAATGGCGACCTATATAGAAATAATTTAAAATATAAATCAAAATTAGGTATAATTTGACATTATGAATTTAACAGTATAAATATTTTATTACGTAAATCAATCTATTTCTATATAGTTGAATTGCTTAGTTTCGAGGTAAACAACATTATATTAACGTACCATGCATTTACAGAAACAATATAAACTAAACTTGAGTCAAATTTAATACATATTTTTAAATTAATATGATTAATTATATAAAATCTACTAGAATTCTAGTAAATTTAACTATTAGGAAATTCTATAAATGTTGATTATCTCGATTTAAACAATAGATTTAACCAGAATTCTGGATCGTTCATTTTCCACTCTCTAGAATTCCAGTTTAATTCAACCATTTTTCTTCGTGCATTGTTTCAGCCAAATTAATTTTATATTATGTGTGGGAGCAGTGGCGATCTAGAAATAATTAAAAACAACTCGCAAATTCGGTATAACTTGATATTATGAATTCAACAATACACTGCACTCGATCACTCAAGGAGTAAGCTTAGCAGCTTCATCCGGCTTGAACACGGCCAATGATTTCAGGAATTACGATTTCGAATTCTCAAGACGTTCTTCGCAGCGATGCAAATCTTTTCCACGTCGTCTATACACTTGCCAACGGGACTTAACGCGGCCCGTCGTACTTATAGCGATATTTTTATTCAAGACCGTGCCGACAAAAACAGGCGCACCGCGCCCGATAAATCTCACGGGCTCGTGAACAAAGTCGCGTGCGGCAGTACCTTCGATAGAAATCAGATTTATTGGCGCGGCGTGTTCCGCAATTTTTTGCCGATTAGGGAAACGGCTGCGTCTGCCATATACGGAGATAAACGATTCGCGCCCAAGGAGAGTTCGAAGATTCGAATCGCTGGACTGTGTACGAGCGCTATATACATTCGCAATTTTCCTCGACAGGTGGGGAGTCGATCGTTTCGTTGCCTCGTCCGGTAGCGCGAGTAATGCTGTGACAAAATGCGCGCACGACTCGTATAACAGATAATGCGAAACGTGACTCGCGATACGAGAGACGTGAGGCCCCGGGAGCGCTACTTGTTATCGGAACACCGATAAGAGATCGCGTCGCGGGTACGTGACTCACCGTGGCGAGACACGGTCCATGGCGTCGGCTCGTTAATAACCCCAACATCAGCCGGCTTTTGCCGGACGACGGCACTGCGCGACGGCGCACGTGTTAAGTTACCGTACAACCGCGCTCCGCGTTTAATGGGAAATTAATTATCGCGGTGCGAGTACGTGAGCGCGCGAGCGCGCGAGGATGCAGGCCCGGGAGCTTGTAACCGAGTTCCGCCGCGCGATGAAAGCGCAGGACGAACATCGTTGTGTAATTCGTTATTACCGTAGCGTCTCGCCACGGGTGCGCGTGTTTCCACGTAAGCGCCTGTAATACGTCAGCGCTAATTAGTTTAGCTGTCGGACGATCCCTCCTCGGAGTTTGCACTAGCTGGATCCGCCGATTTTCCAGCGGCTTGATCTCGCGCGAAATTTTTGCACCAGTCTCGTGCACATTAAGGGAAAAATTTCTATTTGTCACTATAATTATACGTTACTGTAATTATGATTATTACTATAATAATAATAATAATAATATATATAGTTCTACCAATAATATATTATATTTACTTGGCTATGTTGAAAGTGACTATAATTACAGCCATTATTATCATAAAGTGAGTGTATAAGTTGTCATATTAAAAAAAATTTCTAATTGAAAATGGATGAATCAGAATTTTCTGGTTAAATTTATTAGAATTCTAATTTTGAGATAACTGCAAATTTTTTTGATCGATACAATATTTCTGGTAAAATCCACTAAAATTCGTATTTTTTTTACCAGAATATTTATACATATCATTCAGAATTCTAGTTATCTCAACTAGAATTCTAGTAGATTTAATCAGAAAATTCTGATTCGCATCCATTTTCCACGAAAATTACTATTTAATCCAACCAAATCATTCTTCTCAGTGTATAATTTAATATTTGTTTTTATAGAATTATACGAACGTTATTATTACCAACATTATAGCAGTAATAATCATAAATAACATGAATTATAGTTATGAATACCAACAATTTTTCTTTCAGTGCAACCAAATGCGGATACCATAAATACGTTTAATTACGCCGTTGATCAATTTTGCAATTGAACCGCGCGACGTCGGAGGGCTGCAAATTCAATCCGTCGAATTTTTCAATTCACACAAATTTAATTTAGAAGCTTTATCCGTTAATACGAGTTTTCCCGAATGGGTACACGACTGATTTATACGTAAATAATATGATTACAATTGTCAAAAATTGCTTAAAACGCATATATATTTTCTCTCTTTTAGAAAAAGAAGCGACTCATTTTTTTGTTATCTTTTCTCTGATTGTGAGAAAAGTGTTTCGTATCTATTATTATACTATAAATGAATAATAAAATAATTATGATTAGAAATTACAAGTTATAATGACAATATAATAATAATTGTATTTATAGTTCTTTATAAAAAATTTAGTTGATACCGAAAATAACTGTGAATTGTGAAATTATCATTATTGGTGCCAACTATATCATATTTGATTTGGTATATTGATCTATAAATATAATAATTATTATTATTAACATATAACAATAATAATTATAAAAATAAAGCTCCTAGTTATTATTTTTTTTTCATGCAATTATAGTTACGTAAATACAAAACATTTTTCTCGCAGTAGAACTGCTCTTGGACGAAAGATCGCTTATCACAAAATAATTGCGACAAATAAATTCTAGCAATCGCGATCGGACTTTTATGGTCAAACTACCGAGCGGGGAAAAAGAACAGGTAAATCGACAACGCGACGACAGCTTCTTTATAAAACGTGTAAAAAAGGTGGACAAGGTAACTCTCCTTCGCGAAGCTCCCGAGACAGCCATCGAGCTTTTCACGCTCGATTGACGCATCCCTAGATTTCATCTTCTCTCCTCGAAAATCCTAAAGTACTTCCATCATACTTTCTTACTGTTTCTCTTGTCCGTCCCGTTCTTCACGCGCCTTTCTCTCGACCACGAAACATCGCTATAAGCTCTTCAGAAATGTCGTTCCGTCTTGTTCTTCCTTTTTCTATTCTTTCGGACCCTCCCTGATATTTCCTCCATTCTACCTCGTCGGCGGTCTGTTTATCCGTTCCAGGATAATTCAGATCACCCTCCCCCGCGTCAGTATACAAGCCACTTCGTCAGAATTTAATGCACCGTAAAACGAGGCTTTTCCCTCCCTCTCGCTCTCTATCTTCGTGTCTCCCTACACTTTCGAAGTCGCGACTGAATCCGCTTTATCATTACCACTGCAGTTGCAAGTGCGCTCCTGTGATTTTGCAAGCTCTCGTTGCCGAAGAAATCCGCTCGCGGGATGTAGCCGAGATAAGTAAAGCCAACGAAAGCCTCGAACCCACTTGATAGAAGTCCCCGTCCCGTGATGGAATTCTACGAACACGATGCATCATCATGCGATTCCGTCGGTAATTTTTAACTGTACTTATCGTTATATATAGAAATCTTCGCTGAAAGAGGAAAGATTTATTTCAAAATGTCATACATATCTCTATTTTGTAAAAATTATTATAAAAATATATTGGATAACTATAAGAGAAAAAATAAAAATGTGAAAAAAAATACAGATCTGTAATACTAATCATTATTTGTACTCTCTGAATCTTTTAGAATGAATTTCACCGTGAAGAGTGAAATTTCACTCTTAAACATTGAAAATTGAGCCACTTTCTTTCAAGACTGGTTTAATTTTCACTCTAAGAAAACTTCTTCTAAAAGTTTTAGAGAGAACAAATTATGATTACAGATTGTTTTTTTCTCACTTCTTTATTTTTTATTTTTTCCGTTTAGAGTGAGATTCCATTTCAAACAATTTAGAGAGTATATTTTGTATATATGTATATATATATATATATTATTAATTTAGAACGTCCTGTATTATGTTATTGATTTACGTATTGAAATACGATAAACGAGACTGAACTTTTTAAACTAGCGGCACTAATTGAATTGCATGATATACAGATCCTAATGGAGAAAACGAAAAAATATTTGCTTTTGGTACGTTTACATATGCGTAGGTGCGAATTCATACGTTTGAATGAATACATATAAAAACTCGCAATTCGCTCGGGGCGCTCGTGTATGACGAATCGCGTGCTACTTTGTTTTGCAAAATTGGCAGGCAGATACTAAAATAACGAAAAAAAAACAAAGAGGGCGGAAGGAAAGAAAGGGTGAAATGGAAGAATAGCGCCCGGCGATAGAAATTCGAGGCAATCTATTCGGTAATTGAAGCTTCCATTATTTTTCCGGCAGAGCTGCGTACAACCAACTCTTTTCGTCGATTCTCTTGTTTCACGCGTTTCTCTGCGTTTCGTAATATCGCTGTATACGTATATATTTTTTTTGGATCAATATTTTTGAAACTGTGCTACGAAAAAGTTCGGTACCTTTCTGAAAGAAAAATGAACAATAAATGTTCTGCGACGATTTAAATTGGAAAATCCAGTAGTCTCTCAGTAGTAGAAGAGATGTGAACCTAACAGAATGATTCTAAAAACAACATTAAGAGCGAGAGAGAGAGAGAGAGAGAGAGAGAGAGAGAGAGAGAGAGAGAGAGAGGGCGAGAG